AAGCACTGTATGATCCCATTTACATGAAATATCTGGAATAGGCAAATGCACAAAGAAAGTCTAAGAGTTTCTGTGTGGGAGGATGAAAACATTGTGGAAATAGATAGTAGTCATGGTTGTACAACATACCAAAAAACAAACTCACTCCCGTCGAGTTGATCCCGACTCCTTGGGTTTCGGAGGCAATATCACTATGGAAGTAGATTATCCCATCTTTCTTTTGAGGAGTGGCTGGTGGGTTTGAACCACCAGCCTTCTGGTTAGCAGTCAAATGCCTTAGGCACTATGCCACCAGAGAATGCCACAGAGTTGTACACTTAAAAATGGTAAATTTTAGGCTATATATATTTTACCACAATAATTTGTTTCTAAAGCCTACATGGAATAAATAAATAAAAGCCTTCATGAGTGCAATCTTCACATTTGCTTAATTTGGGGTATTTTCAATCGCTTCATATGCATGTGAGAGCTGGACAATGAATAAGGAAGACGGAAGAAGAATTGATGCTTTTGAGTTGTGGTGCTGGCAAAGAATACTGAGTATGGACTGCCAGAAGAAGGAACAGATCTGTCCTGGAAGAAGTGCAGCTGGGATGCTCCTTGGAAGCAGGAATGGCCAGACTTCATCTCACATACTTTGGTCATGTTGTCAGAAGGGACCATTCCCTACAGAAGAATATCATGCTTGGTAAAGTGGAGGGTCAACAAAAAAGGGAAAGACAGTCAATGAGATGGACTGACACAGTGGCTGCAACAATAGGCTCAGGTATAGCAAGGATTGTGAGGCTGGCACAGGACTGGACAACGTTTTGTTCTGTTGTACATGGGGGTCACTATGAGTCGGAGCTGACTCTTTGGAACCTAACAACAACTAACAACAGTAACATCAGCTCTCTGTTGACGCTCCTTTCTGCCATCTGGTCCCTCAGAAGCAGGATGCATCTGCCCTGTCCTCTCATCCCTTTGGTAACATGTAACATGGCTGCTAAGAGAAGGTCCAGCAGTTAGAACTGGTTGGGTTTCACTCCCAGCATCTCTTTTTAGCAAGCCTAGGCTCTTAGGTGGGTGATCATCCCTTGTTTCAGTTTCCTTATCTGTAAAGTGAGGATAATAACAGCACCTACTTCAGCCTCTTTTGAAAGGTTTAAATGAGTTTTATATAAACAAAGGGCTTAGAACAGCTCCTGGCCCAGCCATGGTATGTGCTCCATAATTACAAATGCCAAATTCCAACTCACAGTGACTCCATGTGTGTCTGAATAGAACTGCACTCAATGGATGAATTTTGGAAGTAGATTGCCAGGCCTTTCTTTGATGCACTTGAACCTCCAATCTTTCAGTCATCAGCTAGCACATTGTTTGTACCACCCAAGGACTCCATACATTACAAGTAGGTATGGTGGCATAGTGTCTAAGGAATTTGACTGCTAACCAGAAGGCTAGCAGTTCAAACCCACCAGCCACTCCTTGGAAGGAAGATGGGGCCATCTACTTCTGTAGTGATACTGCCTCAGAAACCCAAGGAGGGGTCACTATGAGTTGGATCTGACTCGAAGGCAATGAGTTTTTGAATATTATTATCATATCCCTCCTACCTCAGTACCCTTCTTGCCAGCCAGCTGTCCAAGTCCTCTTGCCTCTTCATAACCCAACCCAAGTCCCATGTCCCCCATAAACAGGGTGGTCCGTGGCCATGAAACTCCCTCCTACCACACCACTAAGTTACCATCCCCCTCCACACTCTCAGTCCCACCTCTGCCAACATTTCTTGAGCGTCAGCCCTGCACTGGGCACTGGGGGACAAGGGGAACAGCCAAAGCCCTGCCCTTTCAGTATGCACGCTCTACCTCGGTCGGGCAGTGGGCAAGGGCCCGGAGTCGGTGCCTCCAGCTGCTGGACCAAGACCCTCAGG